CAATTTAAATTATCATTAGATTTTACTATTACGATTATTATTGCATTAAACATTGCAAAATACAGATTAGATGATATATGTCAGTCGTAGAGATGTCAATATTTGATTTGCGAATTATGCTTGCATTCCAGAAATTCACTGACGGAGTAGTGGCAACCTTTAAGTAGCATTATATTTATTTCACGTCTAAATGCATTTAGTAGCAATTCTCTTAGGTCACTAGGTAGCGAGTAAAAAATTTTTATGGCCATAAAATATGGACTATTTTCAATGCTTATTAGCAAAGATCGAACACTTAGACAAGTTCGTTCGGTCCGCGCCAGATGCTCTGCCAATTAAGCCACGGAACGAACCAGTAGACCTAAAGATTTTTTCTATGTGCTTCTTGCAGACCTTTGTTTATAGTTTTTGATGACTTTTTTGCCGTAGGACCATCTGTGAGAAATTTCGACTCATCCGAAGAACAGAGTCCGATGTATATAGCGAAAAGAGAATAAATACGTTACGAGAATAATTTCCTTATTCAAACTAAGGCCTACGTAAAGGTGTTTTGAGAATTTATATATCTTATTTCATTTCGGAAATATAAAATCGTACAACGGTCGATCTGACATCCACAGCGAAGAAGAACGAACGAAATGTACTATGTCCTGAGAACAAGTAGTCTTGCACATAGATCTTTGTTCTATAGATGAGTCGATTTATTTCTTCACTCAGAGAGGTAACTTTGCGGCTACCATCGCTGACTATAGATGTCGATTTAATCAATGTAATTTTCAAGTTTTTATTGAATGTCACGACATTTGACAATTGCCATGAAATGAAATAACAACAATGACGTTTTTTTTAATTACTCCACTACAAACTTAGAAAAAATCATTCGAGTCGGCTGGATTAGAAATATTCATTTATAAATTAACACGCGGTATAATTATCCAGGCCACGTAAGATAGTCGAAAGACATTTCCCCTTACGCCGACAATCGGCAATATTTATACACTGTACAAAATCTAATGCAAGAAATGTGACACACTGACCCAGCCCTACTCGGAAGTCTAGGTCCGCATGTAAGACGACACATGACTTCCGGTGCCGCATGTTACTTCCGGAACACGAAGATTTAATGTACAACTTGGTTGTTTGTACAGCCAGTTATAAAACCTAGATAAATTTTTCTTTTTGTTCTAAACTGTTTTCAACAATTAAACAGTATCCTATTACAAGAATGCAAACAGTTATTGACGTACCTTAAACTGCCTCCGAACGGTTACAATAGCCGGACTGCCACGCAGAGATCCCAGGTTCGATTCCTGGTGCGGGAGAAATATTTGTGTGCCCTACATTTATTTCTCTCGTGAGTTTAGGTGTAATTTGTGGTTGTCTATGTGTGTGGTTTCCCTAGTGCGCGGCTATGTTGATTGTGTGCCTTATTATTATTATTATTATTTACTTTATTCTTCTCAGCTTGTTTATTGTTATGATTTTGAGAAATACTATTAACTATCTTATCGACTCTGGAAAGGTAAAGCGTCTAACGTGTATTTGGAAAATTATACAGGATTTTTTTAAGAGAAAAATTTAACTCTAATTTTATTAGTTGGAAAATGTGAAACTCTTAGTTTCCCATATAACAAATAAAATTAGATTTATGGTAGTTTTTGTTACAAAAATTACTTTAAATCACTCTCCTATAGTGTTTTCCGAACGCACTACCTTTCCAGTGTCGTTGTCATTGAAATTTATTTCTTACACTTGTAAATAGTTTACGTATGTGAGTTGCTGCATACATGCATCTATACTCCAGCCAAATTGGATATAGTATGTGTAATAACAAAACGTTGCTAGGCAACTAATGATGGCAGATGTAAAGAACATTTTTTGTCAATTCTCATTATTTAAGCTAGCTCTGCCCGCGGGCTGCTCGCGTAATTGGAATTTAAACAGATCAGAGACGATTGGGGTTATTTTTTTTTTTTTTTTTTTTTTTTTAATTTATTGAGGAACAAACAGTTTTACATATTTAAAAATATACATACTTAAAATTAACATATTACTAAACCTACAGTTCCCTAAATATGCATATAAAACAAAAAAGTATACGGTATACTGACACTTATAAACGTAAGTTTTATAAACGTTAAAAAAAACAAAGTAAAATGATATGTAATGATAAGTATGAAATGATAAGTATGAAAGTGAAATGTTATGTAGATATAATAAGTACTTACCAAGCCAATTAGTATAAAATTTGTAAAGTGTATATAATAGGAAATAAAACTATTTTTCCGGATTTAAATCGCGTATATTTGTTTTTCAAACAAACCTTTCGTTTCGGGCCCTTTACCGGTCCCATGATCAGTCAATCGTGATCTAAATAGTTTCATTTCCTATGTGTGACAATCGCGAAGACCTAAGAACTCGATAAGTATATATAATTTATACTTACTACTAGATCGTAGGTTACCAAAGTTTGTGGATCACCGACGCCACTTAGGCAAGTTAAAAAAAATAAACTCCAACCACCACAAAAAACAATTGAAAACACATTTTTTTTTTATATTGACTTAGCACAAAAAATCACAAGGTAAGTAATTATGTAGTGTAGTTAATTTTCATCAATCCAATCATTAATTTAACTAGCGACGATTTTTCCACGCCGCTGCTAATGAATTTGACACGCGTATAAATCGCGCGGCGAAGATTTGTTTTATTTCCATTGATATACAAATAAATGGACGACGGGTCTAATACAAAAACCACGAAAAAAATGTCCCAAGTCAACCTATTTAAACGTAGTGACATGTAAAGGAATATGAAAAAGCTAAAACGTTGAATTTAAATTGTAATGTCATCGCAGTACTGTCTAATTTTGAAACAAACGAAGAGTAAAGCGTGAATGACGCTCTGTATACGATTTTAACGCCCTAGAAGTTCGGACACTTTTTAGCGCGGACCCGACGTCCATATAATTGTAAGTCAATGTTTATTTCAATGAAGTAACAGCCTCGTTGTCAATTACTATATTTCAGTACAAAAATTCCGTACAATTAAAATTAGTTATGGTTATTGAAATCGGGAGGCACACTGACAATTTTTCCCATTACATGACACATGAATGTTAGTGCTGCTATTTTTTTAATAAAAAATAAGTACTGATGATGAATTCGACGATAGAGTATCCACGTCTAAATAATATCTTCGCTCTCGCTTTGAAATGGCCCAAAAAATAGTGTTCAGAGGATAAATAATCCACTCTATAACTATTCGCCATATAAATGTGGAAGCGTAACGCTTCGTGCGAATCTTCGGAATATCCATAACATAGTGGTGGAACCCCATCCTACTTCTAGTTCCTTAATGATGGAAAAGGGAAGGCGGAATTAAATCGTGTAATTCCATCGCACATTCTCCGTGATATATCCTGTGGAATACTATGTAGATTACCATTGCTAACTTCCAAGTTAATGTGTGAAAAACTTAACAATGAATAAAAAGGGTAATTTACACGACGTTTTAGTGTTTTATAACGCCTGAAAAATATATACCACGCTGAATTTCACGCCGATCACGCCGTCGACAACAATCTATCTCTAGTATACACAACAAATTACATGCTATAGTAATATATTGACGTACAAAATAATTTTATTCTTAACTTTCATTGTTCAATTCATTACTTCAATTGATTTATACCTAATCATTGACTTACAAATAAATGGACGACGGGTCTAATACAAAAACCGCGAAAAAAATGTCCCAAGTCAACCTATTTAAACGTAGTGACATGTAAAGGAATATGAAAAAGCTAAAACGTTGAATTTAAATTGTAATGTCATCGCAGTACTGCCTAATTTTGCTTGCTTCGCTGTCAGAAGAAACAAACGCAGACTAAAGCGTGAATGACGCTCTGTATACGATTTTAACGCCCTATAAGTTTGGACACTTTTTAGCGCGAACCCGACGTCCATATAATTGTAAGTCAATGTACTTAATAGAGAAATATTAACAAACTTACGAATTCAAAAAGTATAAAGTCTTCCACGTCAATTCAATTGCAATTTGTGAACAAATCTGCAAAAGAAAAATAAACATATCGAGCACTTCGCGGGTTTCAGAGAGTGCGAAACAAACAAGGTCTTGATAGACCTGAGGATTCTTCCGATATTGCCCGTAACACCTCTCCAAAAGCTTATACACACGGCGTGTTTTATATGCACCGACGACGCGCGTTTCACGAGCGCGCATTTACGACGCCGTATAGGCTCAAAAGCAGATTGTTGCGTTTGTATCGACTCAAACGCGCGTCTGCGGCGTGTATACGCGCAGATGACGCGCGCACGGCGCCACTGAATTTGTGAACTCGCTGCAACTGCATCGCGTTTGAATAGAATTATGAGCGTCGTTTGCGCGTCGTCGGCTTAAATTAATAACCTTTGTAGTGGTTTGCATTAAATATTAGATAACTGTTTGATGACTTTATCTCGAAAAAAACATGCGTTGATTGAAATGGTGTATTATATGAAAGAGTTCGTCCAGGGAAGTACTGCCGCCTTATCTTTTTGTGCCGCCAAGCAGTAAAGTGGGTAAGGTTGTAATAGCAGGCACATGGAACTTGTCAACTTGTGTTAAGGGTGACGGGCGCAGTGGTAGTGCCCCTCAGATCTTTGCGGTTTAAGATCTTTGCAATTTAAAAGTAGCACTGTCATAGGCAGACGTGGCGCTTACAACCAGGCGCACGACTTGTTCGTCCCGTTACTTGGTAGCATAAAAAAAATGTTATAAGCAGAGGTACAAGAGAGAAAATAATACACACAGCTTTAGAATACTTTACTTCAAAATCCTCGTATATAATATTAAAGGTGTTTTGTCCTATATTTTTAATGTGGTGTGTATTGAAACGCATTGGTTAGTAAAAATACAAATTTTTCTTTTTTGTGTCATCCAATCTGTTTATATTACTTGGAGCTTAGGTATACTCTTGCCTATTTCGATGTGTAATTTATGAGTAAACCATAGTTTTTTGTGCCACTTTGTAAGAGATTCAGTTTATGAAATTGCTAACAAAGGTGATGGGTGGATGGGTGAACAAAAAGTTAAACAGGTCTATTGCATGTGGGTTAATTTTTCGCCCTTTCAAAGGAGTGTATCGGATGATAAAACATGTACATTTTTGACATAAGCCAACTTCAAAAAAATCTAACACTAAATTATCAAAAATGACAACAAAACTTTACCTTTCATACTCATCCAACAAGCACAAATAAGATTTTCGTTCTCCAAAATATACTTTTCTAGTTTATCACGGTTTAAAATCATTAGCAAACTTTGAAACTCAACGTGGCGAAAACTAACTGTCAATTTTGGAACATTTTCTGCGACTGACAGTATTTGGAAAACATTTGTCGAATTAAATTGACTGCTTTTTGTTTTTAAATTTTGACCAGTGGTTTTTTTAAAGGAGGTCTTATTTGTACTTGAATAGAGACAACCGCACGTCTCTCTTTTTATCTGAAGTTTTTTTATATATAATACTAAGTGACGGGACTAGTTGTACGCCTGATGGTAAGCTACACGCCTGTCCATAACAGTTGCAGTACCACTCAGAGCTTTAAGTCACAAAGATCTGAGGGGCGCTGCCACTGCGGCCGACACCCTGAGACGTAAGTTGACAAGTCCCATGTGCCTGTAATTTCACCACCACCCATCCCCTTCGAAACCAGCACTAATAAAGCTCACATTACTGCTTGGCGGCTAGATAAGGTGGCAGTACTTCTCTGGACTAACTCTTTCACAAGGAACTCTACTCCTTGCTACTAAAACAAAGTCAAAGTCAAAGTCAAAGATCATTTATTCCATAGGTAAAATAAATTTACACTTGAAAACGTCACATTTACATTACATAATATTAAGCTACTGCTCGTTCACTACGCTGATTTCCCTGAGAAGAACGAGCAAGAAACTGTAGGGATAGCGGAAGAAGCTAAGCAACGTGCGCTGGCGCAGGCTCGACAGGAAGCCCAACAGCTGCGCAAATCAGTTGAAAATGAGCTCACGCAATTGATTGATTATAAGCCGCTGGATAGCTTGGAACAGGTATACAAATCCAGAAATTAGATTTTGCTATTTTTAATCCACCGTTTTGTGAACTTTTAGCAGCAGTATAGTATATATGCCACCTTACCTACTTCTGCACCCAAGCAATAATATGAGCATACTGCGTTCAGGTTTTTCAAAGTCAAAGTCAAAGTCAAAGATTATTATGTATTCCATAGGTGAAATAAATTTACACTTGAAAATGTCACATTTAAGCCACTGCTCGTTCACTACGCTGACCTCCCTAAGAAGAACGAGCAAGAAACTCTAGGGATTGCTCTTTTCAAATAAACTTAAATGCTATGGAATACACTTTGAATCAAATTTGTGTGGATTCTGGAGCCATGTCGTCTTTCCATACATCTTTATCTAACACGTAGTCTTCAATTTTGTAATATGACTTGTCAATCAAAATATTTTTAACGAAGTTTTTGAACTTAGGAAATGATAATCTTAATATAAATGCTCCGGAATTTTATTGTAAAAACGTATACAGTTCCCCATAAAAGAGTCGTTCACCTTGGTTAAACGAAATCGTGGCACCATGAGTTTGGACTGAGCTCTAATTAATATTATGGATATCTTCTTTTTTATTGAAATTGTGTACATTTTTACGGGAATATGAAATATTTGAGTAAATGTACTGTGATGCCACAGTCATGATACCAGTCTCCTTAAACTTTTCTCTGAGAGAAACCCGAGAGCCTAGACGGTACACAGAACGAATCGCTAGTTTTTGCAATACAAATATGGTTTGAATATCTGCAGCTTTACCACACATGAGAATCCCGTAGGACATTATACTATGGAAGTAACAGCAACAAGTCCTCTGTCTAAAACTAACGAACTGATGACGGTTCTCATACAAATGGCTTTTAAATACATTCATTTATTGGACCTTTGTTATTTTTGTGTACAGATTTATAAATATTCAATCAATAATAAGTTATAATAACTTACACCGTATATTATAACTTATTAATTCTGGTTTAAAGGGTAAGTGAGGTGAAGAAATGGCAGGCACATGAGACTAGGCAACTTATGTCTCAGGAAGACGGGTGCAGTGCAGTGTCCCTGAGATCTTTACGAAGCTCTGAGCAACACTACAACTGTTATGGATAGGCGGATCGCTTGCCATCAGGCGTACGACTTGTTCGTCCCGTCACTTGATATCATAAAAAATCATTAATCGCGGGTACACAAGCTGCATAACAGTAGACAGTAACAAAATGAGTATAGTTTCACTGTGCCCGGTCAAACAATAGGCTAACCAACACCTCATACCTTTGGTGTAATGAGACCAAATCTAAACCGCGGTTAAGTGACAAAATATTTTTTTAGGATGTCTTAAAAAACCATAACCCAGTTTTAGACTATAATAAAAAAATCCGACAAGTCGAACATGTGAACTAATTTTAGCTGTTATTAAAAGAGAATTTTGTGCTCCATTTTTTTTTAATTAAAGCGGATATTTCACTATTTATCACTTAGTTACCGCGTTTTAGTTAGTGGACGGCAGACATCTGCAAAATGACAACTTTTCTTGAGGGAGCTTTAAGCGTGAAACATACAAAGGGCGTACGCGCCAGCGCTCGGTGTGTTGTCGTCCATATAAATACACGGAATTAGACCCGCGCCCGACTCGCACCCGCACTCTGAGCGTTTCACGCTTTAAAGATCCTACAAACGGATTTTTTTAAGCTTATACTAGGAGAGTTATAAAATGTCACATATATCTAACTTTTTCAATGAAATCAGTGACAGACGAACAAGTCGTGTGCTTGGTGATAAGCGACAAGCCTGTAAATATCAGTTGCAATGCCACCTAGATCTTTAAATCGCAAAGACTTGAGGAGCAGTGCCACTGCGCCCGTCACCTTGAGACATAAGTTGACAAGTCCAAAGTGCCTGTAATTTCACGAACATCATTAAGCGTGAAATACACAAAGAGCAGGTGCGGGTCGAGAGCGGGTCGGGTCGGGACCGCGGCGGGTCTAATTCCGTCTGTTTATATGGACGACAACACACGGAGAGCGGGCGCGTGCGCCCGTCTCTCTACTACTCGCGCCCGCTCTCTGTGTGTTTCACGCTTTACCCTTCAAAACCGGAACGCTGTAATGTTCACATTACTACTTGGCGGCAGAAACGCGTAAAGTGACAGTACTTTCCTGGATTAACTCTCTCAAAGAAGCTCCACTGTATGCTAACATGTGGGTTTATCATAACGGAGAGGGTACGGACTTGTATACAATAAAAGTCAATAAGGCAATTGTAAAGAAACTGTCAAACCTTTCACATTGAAAACCTAAAACTTAAAACTTATGGGCCATTGCATCAACTAAAACAAAAGTATATAAAAACAATAGACTGCAACCAGATGTTGGTAAAGGCGCGCGCGCAAGACAATAGCATCGTAATACCAACTTACATTATTCATTTCACAAATATGCATTGTTACTATGAAAACTTCTGTTTTGACTTTTGCCGGCTGTTTTGGATAAAGTGGTGGTGCTTTAAGAACGGGAGTGGTCAATCTTGCCCATATGTTTGTATTTTTTATGTTTTATGTTAGTAGAAAGTTGCGCTTTAGGGATTTACTATTATTTTACAGTTTGTTACAAAAAAGCGCAAGCACATTTTTGTTGACTCTATTGTCAGTATAGAATGTATTAGTTTGAAAAGAGAAGCAACTCGAGAGCCCCGAAGTGTCTTTGAGAGATAAATTGAAAGAATTTAACAATCTTACACACACACACAATACAATTATGAAAAATGTAATGTATGTTAAGAACAATTGTATTTTTTATGAAAAACAGTGACAGACATAACATTAAAATACCAGCGATAAAAACGAATTACCAGTTCTTAATAGCAGTCTTCACAAAGACATAAATTCATTTAGAGGGCTATGTTTACGCTTCTATAATAAGATTCCGGTAGATATTCATAATGTTTCCATTCGCGAGGTTTAAAATAAAAACTTTACAAACTTTGGATGATAAAAAGCCGCGGTAGTGACCTGTTTACAGCAAGTATATAACCAGAAATAAGGGCCATCCATCTCTGGCAACTCATCACTCAAATGGGCCTAATATCACTTTTAAATATCAACTCTCGTTTGCACTGTAATCTCAAATTAGAAAGCTGAAATAGTACAGTGCCAACAAGTGATCTGTGTATACGTCTCCGTATATTCCAAAAATATTCTGTATTTATTGTAATAACGATAATATCTCTAACTATCGGGGGCTGTTCCATTCGATGGTGTGGGAAAAATATCAAAATATCTAATTACAAAACAAACGGAATCACCTTTCATCGGTAATTAAATATTAAATATGTAATTTTAGAATTTTCGTTCATTATAGCAAAGCTCAAGTTAAACTGGTCGCTTTGAAGTGAAACGACAATTGACGACACCAGTCAATTGTTTCAAATTCGGACTGGCCAATAATGTAAAAAATAATGATTTGGCAGAATAGTTTTCAAACAAATTAAATGGCATTTCGTCTCTATTTCTGGTTATGCCTGTTTAGCTCTTGCAGGTATTCTCGATCTAAGATGTTTGTATATTTACAAAAAGCAACCCCTAGAGTTTTTTGCTCATTCTTCTCAAGGAAATTCAGCCTTACGAATGAGCAATAGAGTTTAATCAGTATGACGATTTCTAGCGAAATTTACTTACCGATAAAATAAAGATTATATGAGTTTGAGTTTTATGATGTGAAAAACTAATATCTACAAATTTAAAAATAGTAAAAGGTAAACATAATTTAAAAATAACTCAAAATCTTAACTAAAAACCAAAACAAGTTAATAGTATTAGGCTATAATATATACCATTAACGGCATTTAAATGTGTACGCATCAATAGTACCTAGAAAAATGCATGGGAGGGTTTGTTATTCTAAACTCTTGCATCAGATGGGGGTCAGGGTCGAATCGAGGTATAGGGCCCCCATATAACTTGCACCTTTGGTGTAATAAGGCCACATCTGTAAAATGACAACTTATTAGACAGATGTTGAAAGATTGTGTCAACGAAATTAGTTGATATTTTTTTACGCTTAAAAAGGACAATTGCAAAACACCACATATTACAGTTTATTTCATGTACTTCAAATTCTTTTGTTTACTGATATCAAGCGACATGACGAACAAGTTGACCAGTTGCAGTGCTACTCAGAGCTTGCCACTGTGCCCTACACCCTGAGGCATAAGGTCACAAGTCCCATTAGCCTGTAATTTCACCTACAGTGAAGTCCATTCATATGTA